ACTTATTAAAAAGTATCAAAAAAATAACCAAAAAAATGGGTACCATCGAAATCTATCAAAAAAGTAATCAAATCCGGGGGTACATCAAAGTATATCAAAAAAATAACCCCTGATCTATCAAAAATGAAACTTTTGCTCAAAAGGGAAATTCTGTCATGCTGAAAAAGGGTAGATCATTATTTACATCATGTGAGTATTCCCACGCTATCATTTTGGCTGGCATAACGTCATAAGTTACTATTTGCGTTATTACGTCTCTGACTTATATACTATAATATTACTACTACTTAATATATATAAAAAAAATAAAATGTCAGACATTGATAATTTCGATCCCTTCGCCGAGACAACAAACATGCTGTCTAGTTCATTTTTAAGTGAAGTTTCAGAAGAAGGAGAAAATGAATATGAAATTGAATATGAGAATTCGGAGGAGGAAATTGATGCTTTTTCGAGATCTTTGAATGCAATTAATTTCGATAATACTTATGATACTTATCAACAACTGAAAACTCATTTTTGTTGTCAAATCGATCGGGAAATTCATTTGGAAAACTCTTTAATTCAAATCAATCATGCGCAAAAGACCAATGATAATAATGGGAGTACTTTTATTACATACACTATAAATGTTGGGGTAAGTACCAAATATCCAAATATCAAATAAATAAAAAAATTAGATATAGAAGTTTGGGTATATTTCTTAATTATGCATTTAATATATTTTTTTTAAAAAAAAATAAACAATGGGTTTTTTAATATATGTGGACTTAAAAGGAACAAGAAGTTAAACGTCGTTATTCAGAATTCGAATCGTTAAGAAAATCCTTGATAAGATTATATCCTACTTTGATAGTTCCCCCTATTCCAGAGAAACATTCTATAGGTGAAATACCTTTTCAATAAACCCTTTCTACTTTGAAATTCATTTAATATTCTTTCATACTTATTAAATGTTATTAAATACAATTAAAAACACATACCCAGCTGATTATGCGACAATGCAAAGTAAAGCTAAAGAAGATGTGGGCACAATAGAAAGACGTAAACGAATGCTACAAAGATTTTTAAATCGTATATCTAAACACCCACAACTCTCCAATGAGCACGTTTTTCATAGATTCTTGGAAAATGGAGTTCCATGGGTTAATATATATTTCTCTGTTTTATTTTTATATCAAATATCAAATATTATTTGTCAAGTATTTAATTATATTCTAACTAATAATATCAAAATTAGAATGAAGTATTACATTCACCTCCACTTTCGAGTTTACCAAAAAATATTCTTCAAGGATCTCCCGCCAATCTTTCATCATCACAATCTTCTACTACTACTAATTCCACCAATCATATTCCTAAACCCAGTGCTTCTCAACCATTAAAGAATCCCGATCCACAATTTGTTGAAGCGGAAGCTTATACTAATAAGTTTTATAGTCACATCAGTCAAAATATGGAAAAGACCAATAAGAGAATTTGGAAACGTTTAAACGGTATCTTTAATCATTCATTCATTCATTCATTCATTTATTTATTTTGATATTTTTAATCATTTTCTAATATCTTCTAAAAAATATTTAACAATCTTTTTATAGATTTTTCCAATGATTATTCTGAATTGGGAGCATTATATAATGGATTTAGTCTAAGTGAAACAGATGATTTAGATTTATCTAATGCAATTGAAAGAGTGGGACAAGCAGTAGATTCAACATATATGTCGACGGGAGAATTGGTATTAAGTATTTTGGCGTGTATTTTAATTCCGATTTAATTTTTTCAGAACACATGTAATAACCGAAAGTCGAATTTTTTTTTTTATACATATATTATCAAGACGACAGCTCTTGAATCAGAATTTACCGAACCGTTAACAGAATATTCACAATATGCTCAAATTATTAAGCAAGTTCTTAAATATCGACATCTCAAACATTTACAAATGGAACATAGCGCGGAAACTCTTGAGAAACAGAAACTTTCATTGGAGTCATTGGAAAGATCAGAACAGGAAGCTAGAAGATTGGAAGATGCATTGAGTCATAATACTCAGAAGCGTTCACATACGCAATCACCACGTGGTGGATATAATGGAGATGTTCAAAGTAGTAATAACAATAATAATAATAATTATAATAATAATAATTATATTGATAATGAATTCAATAATAATTTCGAAGAAGGATCATTAAATGTAAATGATAGTAATGATACTAATAATAATAATAATAATAATAATAATAATAATAATAATAATAATAATAATAATAATAATAATAATAATAATAA